TCGGTGAAATTTCGAGGAGTTACTGACCGTCCTGTGTGATGTTGAATCCACATTAAACAACTGTCCTTCAACGTACATCTATGATGATTCGGAAGAGCTCGTACCTCTTTAACACCTTCCCTGTTTTTGCAAGACATAAACAAGTGGGGGTACCCAGATCTGGATTACATCGATTCCCAGAAACTGAATGTGCGTGCAAATTACTGCAATACGTTGAGACAAGAACTGAGAAGTCGCTTCGCTTCCGCAAGGAATATCTGGCTCAACTGGTGCAGAAGGCAAGCGCTTCATGTTAAAACCTAGAAGGTGGGGGATGTAGTCCTCATAGAACTAGACAATAAAAAAACGTGTAATGTGGCCAATGGGCAAAATTGTAAAAATATTCAGTAGCAGAGATGGGGGCTACCAGAGTGGTACAGGTAAAAACAAGCAGTGGATATTTGGTAAGACCAATCAAAAAACTGTATCCACTAGAAGTTTCAACTACCAGTGATCCTGTGCTAACTCTGGCAACTGAAAACAGATCTAGATACGGTAGACTCTCTTAAAACCAAGGACATGCTCTTAGAACATAATGTACAATATAGACGTTTTGGACTTATATCCTCTTTTCTTTAGCAATGACTGACTTAATTGTTTAGAAGTTTATTCTTTATTGATCTCATTTTAGTATGATCTGTCATATATATTGTATGTTAACCGAGTTTCTTTTATGTGTTTTCTAAACTAATACATTAGTACTGTTTGTGTTTATTCGTAATGTTAGAAAATTTTGTGCAATGTCTGATTTTGAGAAAATCAGGGTGGGAGGATGTTGTACCTCTCATCATACAGCGAGGATAAGTCTGGCAACAAGCTGCAGGAAGAAAAACTCTGCCAGTGCTTGAATGGCAACAGCGGATAATATTCTATACATGTTTTAATATTTTGATTTTGAGTCGATGTCTTTTGCGTCTTTGCGATACTATTGCGTTATAACATTTGAGTTTTGGGTGAATGAAATGGAATTCCGCTGTCCCGCTGCGGATATTAGTAAAATATATTTAGAAAATTAGCTGCGTTGGAAAGGATGAAACCTTGTGTTTCAATTTAGCGGTATTTTTCCTCCTAAAGTTGCGCGCGCCGTGTTCAGAATATTATGCCAGGCTTATTCACGCTGGTGCAGATAAGTTCAAATTTTGTTTATTGTGTTTATAGTGTATAACTTGCAAATATATGAATAGAATTCTATTAAATAAACATTTAAAATTCTGGAATGGTGTTTAAAATTTTAGATCTAGAGTATTCAAATTGCTATGTCGGAGCCAGTGGCAGTCAGGTGCAAAATAAAATTGTTTTTGCTCCACGACATAACAATGACTTCAATTCTAGCTTTTATAAACGTAGATTGCGTTACATCCAAAATGTTAACCAGGTTTTCAAGAAAAATGGATTTTCGCCAGGAATATCTGGGAACTTTGAAAACAACAAGCAAAAATGATATCCAGAAGTATATCATTTTATATACATTGAGGTGAAAATAAAAGCGTGTACAGATGAGTCTATAGGGTAAACATTAAAAAGTACTTTTTCACGAGATTGGTTGCGTCCAGTAGTGCTTCTTTTAAATGACAACCATGCAGCTGTTTGCATCTTAAAATGCATCAGCATATGCCCTGGGAAAGTGGTCAGCTTGTCGCAGGACACCCGGTGTTTGGTCCCCAAGCGAACTTGGTGCTCATTTTATTTATTGACCCATTCAAGGGAAGAAAGGCTGAGTCAACCTTGCCCATCCTGGGGTTCGAGCCCCGAACCTGGGCTGCAGTTGTGCGACGCGATAGCCACTTCGCCACACCTTTATTGGTATATGCAAGGTAATTAACGAAATAAAAAAAATATTTTCAGTTTTTTTTGTATTACATATCCTGAAAACCCTTACTATGAAATTAAGATAGCTCCTAACCCATTGACAAAATTTTTGTATTGTTCAATATTATGAAAAAAATTTTCAGTGGGGCTACTTTGAGTAGTCTTATATAAATTTTGTGTTGACATATATTTTTAATATTTAGCTGGTACTTTGTTAATGCTTTAGGTATTTTTTATGTATTTCATTATTGTGTATGATTTTATATCTGTCTTTGCAAAAAAATTTTTCAAATTTTAAGTAACAGATTTTATTTTAAAACAATTATGATACCCCTTTAAATTCTTCATACTGCTCTTGGTTTTGAATGTGTTCACAGCTTCACTCACCACTACGACAGCTTTCCCTTCATTTTTTCAGTTGGGAGTATTTTTCGTGAGTGACACTTACTTCAACTTTTAAGACGTTTTCTTCAACTTAATGACTTTTATGTAGTTTAGTATATCTATTTTTATTGCGTTGAGTTATATTCGTAAGGTATTATTTCTCGATGGATGTAGGTCAAAGGACTAGGGACTCCGGTGTTTGACACCACTCGTAGACAGGTAGACAGCTTTGATATTGTGCAGAACTTTATTCTGAATCAAATTACTAATACACAGTAGTATGCTCGAAATAACATCCATGCAAAACTGATTATGGTGCAGCTTTGCACCTTCTATTAACATCTTGCCAGAAATTTTGTTGTAAAACAATCTAGTATTGATAATGATGAATTTTAAAATTTGTACATATGACATTTATGATCAGTGTCATAAGACATGTTAAAAGTCCTTAGGCATAAGTCTATATCCTAACATCCAAATGCAATTTTTTCATTGTACTAAATTTTTTTGTGAAATTAATTATATTTGTATTATCATTACATCGTACTCGCTATTTATTACTTTGCTACGATCACAGCTTTTTCACTCTTGATGCAAGCGACTCGAGAACTTTCTTGGATATTTTGTGATTAAGAACTATGTGTAATAATACTTATTTTTATAGGAAATGATTCGCATTCAAAAATTGTTTTAGACGGAGATAATTCGTCCTGCGCGCTGATACCGTTGGTGATATACCGTTTGATCTTGATGAACTAATCAGATCCAATTTATTTTGTTGTCGGCTATTAAAAGTAAAGCATAGCACTACAGTCATGAATTTCAGATAGCTGTACATAGTATCCAAATTTTTGTTGCATCATTTTTTTTAAATTTTAAATTGAATATTAAAGTGTCTAACTAAAGTGTTTTGTTATAACTTTTGGTTCAACATTTGAAATTTTTCAGCCTTAAAAAGTGCTTTCCGTTATTCAAGAACGCAAAGGAAAAACTATTTTTGTATCACAGCCTCATCTCATTAAGCAACACAATGCCAAAATGGGAGGAGTCGATTTATGCAACAATTTAGTAACCAATAACAGAATAATACTTCAAACTCCACCTCGGTAATTTGAGCTACGGATTTCTCACCAGCAGTACATAGTTTTTCTCTCGACGACTTTTCTTCAACTTTTATGTCATATTTCGACAATAATTCACATCCAACTCTCACTACAATAATCGGCTACTACTTTCACTAATCTCCATCACTGCGAACTTTTCCAACGGCAAAATTATTTTTTTCACATCGGCACTTTTACTAAGCTATTACGAAAAGATATGTTTACCGTCTACACTTCCCACCCAGGATTAGGCTTATAGGTACTCTTTCCTTGTAATCAATACACCAGCCAAGGAATAACAGAATAAAAGTTTGTGGCAAAAAATGGTGGCTGTCAATATTTACTAATTACGTTGATATAGCATTGACAAATAAATTCATGGAAAATATCATGACTTTCTATTACTGGAAATAAAACGTTTCTTTTAGATTTCAGACGCGAGACTGTAAAATTCTTCTTCCAAACTTCAATTGAGAGTGTAAGATAAACCAGAAATAGATATCAACAACAGGAAGACTCAGTAAATTCAGCATTCAAAAGCCATTGCATGGAGATAGTAGACATTTTAGCGTAAAATCAGAGGATAACAAAGATTTCGTGTAAAGAATGCCATAGCAAGACTTTTTATAGATAAAAAGTATGTAATGTAGTTTTACACCTTGATTGGGGTAAAGCTTATCATACTTGAATATTTCAATAGAAAATAATCTGCATTGTAAGAGAAATACAATGAAAATTTTAGTATTAAATTAATTACAAATAAAGTGTGTTGTATATTTATAAAACGTTATACAACTAAGAGAAATACAGTACTCAAACTGTACTTTTCCATTTTGCCGGCGCAGGCGATAAAGTCGCCAATAATGGTACAACTGATGCCAAACGGAATATCCTCGCTGGTAAACTTTTACGCTTAATTTTTAAAACAAGTCGCAGCCAATTCTTATCAGATTGATTGGTTTTTTCAATACTATCATACAATTACATAGAATTTTTACCAGATAGTACAATTTTATGCCCTAAGTCCATTCGCAGTAATTAAGTAAATTAGAATGCAATCACACCGCTCACCCGAAGGCAAAAATACAGAAAAGGCAAAGTCAAGGGTTAAATTCATCAATTCTAATGAGAATACGCTAGCGAAATAAAGCACTGAGGATTTTCATAATTTCTGCGTAAGCTATTCGTTCAAATTGAAATAATTCTTGCATTTAAACTTGTTATCCAAATTAAGATTTAACTTGACATTCAATGTAGATAATTACTGAGAGAATTATATTTTTGTAGCGTAGTTTACGTGCGATGAGATCACTTGGGGTCACGTGATATAAACCAGCGAATCAGCTTGTTGAACCATGAAAAATTCTTAAATTAATATCTTATTACAAATTTATTGTCTTTATTTATTGGCTTTTTACAAAACGATTGCCTTAGAGGCTTACCTTTCGTTATAAAATTTGCATGATTTTAAATCCAATATTTCCAAGAATATAATCAAATAAATCATAACACTCCATTTATCCACATATAAGAGCATTCGTTTTTATTTTCAGTGTAAATATATGTTATGAATACTTAATTTAATACTTATTGTTATTTGTATAAGGAGAAAAAAATCATTCCGTTTAGTTTTATTTATAATGGGTTAACTTCGGTTAAAAATTTTCGAATGAGGATTTGAATAGTTACTTGAACACGTTTGGCAACTGCTGTATGCAGCTTTCGAATTTGGTTTCGCGTTGTTTTGAAGCATTTAGTTTAATTTTAGGAGCATAAGAATAGTGGTTGAGTTATGACGTGAGTTGCATAGCATTGTTATTCATCTTGAAATAATTAATTTTAGTATGACTTGTATTTTAGAGCATTAAACCTATCAATAGTGTCGTAACCACTTTTCTAAAGCCCTCATAGAAAGCCAGTTCTTAATGGATCTAATAATAATTAAAAAATACAGTATTTAGCTATTTTTGGATAATTTTAGTCTTATATAAAATCATTTGCATGCATTGATAAATTATTATTATTATAATTTCACTTTTGTAAGTTTGATATATTATCGTAATTAATGAGTTAACAATATTACGCTCATTAGACAATATAAAATGATTGACTTGACTGTACAGATCTTGTCTTATATTTAATCTAGATAATTGTTAAATTGTTTTACTGGCCAAAATTTCTCTTCCAAAAATTAAAAGATATCAGAAAAGTGAGATGTATTCATAGAATAAACTTCATATTCAGGTGGTTCTACAGGCTGATATATTCTTGAGAGTAATAAAGATCTTAATGTTTTGTATTCAGAGGCTGCGGGACTTTGAATGTCGCATGTGAATTTGTATGAAGTTAATCTTTCCTTTAAAAAATTTATGGTATTTCATAATATAAGTAAAGGTATATAGAAATAAAATTATGATTTGTTTTAGCTATTCACAGAAAGGTGGAACTTTAAACACTGGTGGCCCTGGATTTGTGGGTATAAAATTTTGTCAGGAATGGTGAGTAAGAAAATTTATTATTATTCATGTGCTCAAGTACTTTTCTGAATGCTCTTTTTTATTATTATTGTTAAATATCACGCTAATTGCCAAAATGGCAATAAATAAATGACTCTGCACACACACACACACACACAAAAAAAAAAAAAATGAGGGGAACAGTTCTGTATTTCATTTTTAATTAAACTTACTTGATTCCTTCTTCCAGAATTTGAAATTTAGGCTTAATCCAAATATAATTCACACATTTTGTATGATTTATTTTTAAAATTTGTAGTTTGAAATTTGGCTTATATGTTATAAGCGATAATAACGCCAAATGTGGTTTATGCACTTTGTTAAAATTATTTGAAAGTATGAACAACGATTTTTTTTCCCACTCGTTTATAATGAAAAAAAGGGAAAGGCAGATAGGTTGCTATAAATTAAGAAGTGTGGCAAGTGAATTATTCTTGGCGCATTCACTCGCAGCAAACAAAAAAAAGTGCCAAGAAAAAGTTTTGAATTTTTTCATAAATTTCGCACAAATTTTTACAAAATTTAATATTAAGGCATAGTTTCAATCATAGAATTGAAATAGGGAAAAGAATTGGCATGCCATTTCAGAAAAAGTCTGATTTTGTGTCAAAATACCTATGAAAATTTATTTTGATTTCAATGAATTTCAGTTCATTAATTCTATATTAGAATAACACTATATATATAGACATGTAAAACGCAATTTGAATTTCATTAATCGTCCCAGTAGAACGGGAGATATAGAACTGTCCCTCCTTTTATTTTGCGAAGTGTACATTTCCGTAAGTGTATTGGCTAATTTTTTTCAGTTTAGATCAATTTCATGTTTTACTCATTGTTAAAAATTTTGGTAACATTTATAGTATGTGATCTACCACTTTTATTTGTTTTTTAGATGACAGCACTAAAATTGGTTGTTTAAATCATTTATCTTTAATCCACATTCAGGTTTCAAAGTAGCATTTTAGTGGCATCATGTAAGGAATAGCTAACTAAAAGTAGGAGATTTCAAACTACATGATTATCAGAATTTCTCGCAGTAATCGTGCAATGTACGAGCGACACAGAAAAATTCTTTAACTGAAATCCTTAAACTGTTTTTAAGATACATATGCAAATATGAAAAATGCAGTTTCATATATATTATATATATATATAAAATAGTATCGCAAAAAATTATATTATAAACATAAATTTTCCAAGTATTTCCGTGCAACATGCTGCTGAAAATTGATCAGTATAGACAAAAAGTTAGAAATTTACAACCAATTTTACATAAAGACCTCAAAAAAGGGAATTCAGTGCCAATAAATTCCAAAATATCATGTCAGTATGCAAAATAAGAAATTTGAAACTAAACCCTAAAAATTATAATTTGTAGTTTCTCTTCTTTGGGTCATTGTGTGAAATGGGTTCTAAATTTTACTTTTTATCTATATTTTATATATGTGCATGACTATTCTTTTTTGTAATACAGTTTGTTTTCAGTTTTTCTTAAAATATATGCAACATTCATATAATAATTAAAATTTAAATGCGATAGCGTGGAAAAGAAGACGGATGATACTAATGATTTGCTTTTTCAGTTAGATGTAATAATGGGATTTGATACATATCTTTATTTTAGGCATAATTTGTAGAATAAAATACAATGAAACAACATTAGTACTTCGATGGGTACTCTTAGTGAATCCTGAATCAAACATATGGATTTTGTATACTGCCATACTGCATTTGGAAAGAATTTGAGGTGAGCAAAGTGCACAGAAACAAGTGTCACAAAAGGGCAGATTTTAGTGTGAAAATCTGCAGGTCAACACAGGATTCTAAATTTTCTCATCAGAGTCTTATTATCCAAATATATCATTGGCTGTTTGTGATGTTACTTTACATCGTGTTAGGTGAGGGAATCGCTGTGTGAGATAAAAGTTCAGCACTTCTTGAACTATTACCAAAAACTGTGGTATATTTCTCATGATTTAAGGGCAAGTGATAAGAGTAATTTATGAAACTATGCCTAAATATTAAATTTTGTAAACTAGGGTAAAGATCTAGAGCATTATCAAACAAAAATTATTGGTCATATTTTATGAAGTCTGTAACAATATAATTTTTTTCATATTGTCAAAGTTTATACTTAATATGGGGAGAGGAGGCCTCACTGAAAATTCAAACTTAATGCACTGTTTTTCTGTAGTTCATTACATTCAAAAAGAAGATATGTGGGAAATGGTGAGAGGTAAAACCTAAGTATGGAAAATTGGTTATTTTTTAATTCCAATTCGCTGTGTTATAACAGAGTTTAATTTTTTATAGTTATATAGTAATTATATTTAAGTATTTTTAATAATTATTTCATTATTAAATTTATAGTGGATGTCTCTAAAAATTATAATGAATGTATATTCAATATATTTCAGCAATAATATGTTGTATCCAAGAGAGGACAAAGAAAACAAAGTTCTCCTCTATGCAGTAAGTTTCTCATTTTTTCTTTTCTTCTCCTTGTTTAATTAGATTTTTCATATTATTAAAGAAACTAGTAATAAGCATTGGGAATTAATATTAGGTGAACAAATTTGTAGACATATAATTTTAAAAATAAAATAAAACCTACAGGTACTGTTGTAGGAGGGAAAATGATGAAAATGCAAAAAACTGGGGAAAATCAAGAGTTATACCTGAATGATAAAATATGAAGCAGTCCATATCATCTAGTCCCTGAAAAATGAACTGAGAAACAATTTCTTAAAAAGCTAACAATAAAGGAGACCTATCTTTTCCAGAATCTATTTCTTAATTGCAGGAGCGTAGCTAGAGGGGGGCATCTGTCCCCGGGCGCAGAATCCAAGGGGCGCCAAACTGATGTTACGACATTTTAGAATTAAATGTTTTCCATCCTTGGCAAGCAGTAGGGGGTGCAAAACCTTCAGTTGCCCCTGGGCGCTGAAAACCTTAGCTACGACTCTGCTTAATTGCTTTTAGCGGATCAGTAAATGGTACCAATGTCATTGTTAACTTGGCTAGAAATTTCTGTAATTTTTCTTGGTTCTCACAAAGGCATGTTTCTTTTCATTATTTTTACTGTCAAAGCTGAAGAGAAAACTCTGTTCAACTTTCAGAAAACAATCCTACAAATTTACTCTATTTCTTATTACAAATTGCTGATGATTTTTGTTGCTTATTATTTGTCTCTTAACATCCATCAGCATGCTTGGAGAAATGTTTTGTATGTTTCGCATCATCCTAATTATTTATAAAAATATTTTAGAAGCTGAAAAACATCTTAACATTTGGTAAGGTCTATCAATTTGTTGTGTATCAAGTTGTGTACTTGATCATTTAAACAAAATGAACAGTCTGTGTATTGAGAAAGATCTCCAAAATGTTATGAAGAAAAGATCTAATTATCCAGAGAATATCATTATGAATTTTGTAGCTATGTGAATAAATCTGTGGAAATTATACATAAAATTCTAGTATGTCATGTATAATGAATGTAATTTGAAGGGCCTTAAGAGATTGAAACTTTGCTGGGGAGGGTAGTTACAGGGCAAGTCCTTTTAACATTGAGGTTAATAGCTGTGTTACCAAATTAGCAAGATAGTGCCCAGCTGTCAGTGGTTTTGGTGACATTTTGGTCTGATCTCTGTATATATAACTACTCCTATCCACTGTAACTGTATCTTGACCTATGTAACTGTACCTGTGCATGCCTTCCAGCAATTTCAAGAAATTGAAGGAACTAGAAATTTCTCATGAGGTTGGAGAAATCTGTATGAGACCAGAGAGAGCATCATTTTAGTTTAGCTCACAGTAAAGAAAGATCAATGTATGAGCTTATGCATTGAGGCTTTTTATAGTGTCTTGTGTTTCATGTTCTTAGTAGTTTATAGTGATTACTGATTGTGATCTATCATATTGAGAAGAACTATACAAATACTTTTTTGAAAAATTCCTGAGCTGCAAAGTGTTTCTTTTGGGAAGTAAATTTTATCAAGCTATTATCAGTTTTGTGTGCATTCAGTCTGTAGCAAACCTGTATACACGTAACAATACTGACATTCAAAGAAAAATCGTAATCTAATGCCCTTCATACTAATAAGCCAAAAATCATATTTTTTACTTCTGTGTACAAAGTATTGTAATCGTGAAACATTTTCAGGTATCTCATTTTAATGAAAATAGCCACTTTTACTGCTCTCAAATCCATTTGAATGACTTGTTTTGCATTACATCTGTACTTATGCACAGAATAAAGGACTCTTTTTTCCAAAATGTATTGTAAAATGGATTCAGAAGAGATTTTTTCATGGTGTATGTATATATGTGTCTCATGTAACTCAGAAAAGAGTAGCTGTAGAATGTTTAAATTTTGACTGCTATAACATCTAGTTGTGCACCTCCCTTTTTCATTGCAGTCAGCTTCACAAAATTTGTGTGTATATATATATATATATATATAAAAGACTAAAAAGTAAATAAAAGTTTATGACCTTTTTGTTTTACAAAATATCTACAATACTGTACAATATATATTTAATACACTGGTTATCATAAATTAAGGAAAAATCACAAAAATAACTCCCTAAAAAATTAAGCCAAACCGTGTAAAATTTGAATATGTTGGTAAGTAAGAGTAGATGAATAAAACTGCAATATGCAAATTAGGGGTGCTGCAGTCGGAGGAGGAGCATAAAAATCCATGTTTGAGAGCAAGCCCACATATTTCACTGTGATAGTGACATCAGAAGTCTGAGATCGCCAATTCATAATAATGACCTCCAAGCATCTTACCTGCAAAACTACAATGGAGAGCCATTGGGACACTAAAGGCAGAACAAAGTCCAACAGAAGTGGCCAGATGGTTAATGTGAGTCCTTCTGTTATTCATAGACTTTGGAGGCGATTTCAAACCACAGATTCGGCATCTAGGAGGTTCAGCCAAGGATGGCCAACTGCTACGCCGAGCGCCGATGCCCCATATTTGACATTATGTGCACACAGGAATGGAACCGCTACTCCGACTCTTCTTAGATCCTCCCTTGCTGTAGCAACTGAAACAACTGAAAAGTTAGTGTTAACATCAACTGGGCGTAGAAGGCTTCACGAAGGTAGTCTGTATTCGAGACGACCAGCCATTTGCATGCCGCTCACATCATGCCATAGGAGGGACCATTTGCAGTAGGCACAACATGTCCACTGAACACCTGATCAATGGAGGGCTGTTCTCTTTATGGATTGGATGAGTCCAGGTTTAGTCTAGAAAGCGATAGTAGGCGTTATTTGATATGGAGAGAATCTGGAACCCATTATCATCCGTCAAACATCCGTGAAAGAGATACAAACGGAAGAGGCAGTGTCTGTGTTTAAGTGGACGCACAGACCTGCATGTCTTTCCAAGGGAAACCATGAATGTTCCGGTTTATAGAGATGACATCCTTCATGTTTATGTGCGCCCATATGCTGGGCTAGGTGATGTTATATGTAGGTGATGCTTTCCTGTTACAAGATGACAACGCAAGACCACACAGGACTCGCATCATAGATGATTATCTTCAGCAGGAAACAATTATGCGCATGGAGTGCCCAACTCGATCCTCGGACTTGAATCCTATCGATCACGTTTGGGATGCTTTAGGGAGATGTCTAGCTGCTCTCAATCCACCCCCTCAAACCCTTGCCGTGCTTGCAACTGCTTTGCAAGAGCAATGGCTCTCGCTTCCTATGGAACTGATAGAGTGTATAAATGAAAGCATCACGCATCATCTCTGTGTGCTGTATTGCTTCTAGGGAGCGATCATATTCCATATTGAAGGTACTTTTTTCTATAGCAAACTGACACCTTCGATTTGTTCATTTTATACATGTGCTAATTTCTATACTACCATAATTGCCTGGTAATTAATTTTTATGTTATTTGATACCTTACTATGTGTTGTATATTGTGGGTACGTTTCATAAAATTCTACATGTAACTTTTTCAGTAATCGTGATTTTTGTGATTTTTCCTTAATTTATGATAACCAGTGTAATAGCAAGGAAAAGCGGGAACACTGCTGATGCGTACGTAGATCCATATTGAAGACGAAGCATTCTGATTGCGCAGTATGCGAATATGTTGAATTTGTAGTGTCTAAAAAACTTGGCAGTCAAGGCGGTTTTAATTTTATTTTTATTTACAATTAATATTTGTAGCCACAGTTTGCTTGGCACTCTAACTGTGCCTATTCAAGAACATTCACATATTTGATATTATTGCAATAGGAAGCAGCACAGCAAAATTACATTCAAGCAAAGCAGAGAGAGGGGCTGAAGTGCATAGTTAGATGGAAGGATTCGAAGAGGAAGGAAGGTTTTGGTTCGAGTTTAAAGTTTTATTTCCCAGTTATTACGTTATCAGCACTGCGCAGGCCAAGCAAAATCGAATGATCTAGAAATGACGCAATCCAGAGAAGTTATTATGATTTTTAAAAACGAGAGGGAGAATTAAAGAGTTTACCGTTAGTTAAAATTATAATTTTGATTCACATATTTTTTATCTTACATATACAGTCAAAAGTCGTTAATCCGGATTTGTCGGGACTTCAGCGATTTCGGATTATCGATTTTTCCGGATTATAAATCATCAGTTTAAATCCGGTAAGATGGCATGCAGAAATTATAAAATTAAAAATATGAAACCGTAATTTATGAAATAAAGAACAATTATGATCTAAACCAAAGATGTCAAACTCGCGGCCCGCAACAAATACTTTTGCGGCCCGGCCAATATATCGGCAAATAATAATATATAATAATAAAATAACATATCGACGAAGAAAAAAATGAAATGTTTACTGCTAAGTAATTAACGATAATTTATTCAGTGTTGTTAGATTACTCACAGCGAGCTGAGACACACACACACTACTTAAATTACAAATGCGTATGAGTAGCTTGTGTTCAGCTACCTTCGGCTTTTGGGGGACACGTGCACTCAGAACTTGTACGCATCCCCTGATAGCCAAATGTGGCCGAACTCATGGTCTCAGTTTTCCAATCATAGTTTTGTACGATATATTGGTGCATGCATTTTGCTTTATTATTTTTGCGGCCCGCCTAAAGTTAAACCTTGTTTGTTTGCCCAAGTGTACCTATGAGTTTGACATCCCTGATCTAAAGGGTATCAAAAAAAAAAAAAAAAAAAAAAAAGCTTAATATTTATTTGTTTACTTTATTAAACATTTCTTTCAATGTAAGTTGTTTAAGTTGCTTCGTTTTATGTGATAATACTTTCTCTTTAATTCTATAAACAGACATAATTTCTTGTTCAGTTACAAAGTTCCACTGTTCAAGTCCTATAATTGCTGTGTTGAGAATATCGACTAATTTGTCAATCGAAATTTTTTCGTTTTCAATAACCTCTGTGTCACTTTCTTCACTATCGTAAGCAAATTATAATGACGAGGAATTTGATTTAAATCATATCAAAGACAGAGTACATCATCATGAAATACTACATTTAGCAAGGAATTATAAGCCAAATAAAATAAAAACATCTGCTTTGAAGATAAGGATAGTGCTGACAGACCAACTTCCAATTCAATGTGCACCAAGACGCCCTCCCCCCCCCCCCGCAGAGCAGCGTGAAATTGATAAACAGATTTCAAAATGGTTAGAGAAACAAAGGCCTTTATCCATTTTTTGCAGCAATTCCACTTTTTGTTTGATGGACATCGAAACATACTTTCGCTTTGTAGATCCTTTGGGAGCTCCAGCATCGGAAATTCTATTTGACATAATCGAGAGTTCAAGCTTACTTTTATAAAATTGCTCTAACAGTCTGCAAAAAATAATAAGCCGGATCCAATTTGAAGATTAAGGAACAACGCAATGTGCAACATTAACTAAAATAGATAATTTTAGCTTATGCGGTCCGTTATACATTAAACGCGCATGCTTAAACATATGCGCATGCACAGAAAGTTTGTAGCTTTGAGGTCCGGATTATGGGTGTACGAATTAACAACTTTAGACTGTATATGTTTTCACCATCTTACCTGACTCTGTGAGTTCAATATTTTTATTCTTATAAGTTGGTAAATTGTGCATTTTTTGCTTAAAATGGTTGGATTACATTATTACATGTTATTTGTGTTCTGGTTAAAGGTTTTTATACCTGTAATTAATCTACATGCAGTAACTGTATCAATAGTTTAAAAGTTCAAGTGTTGATAGATCTAATGAGGCACCCATTTGTGTTTACATTTGAAACTTTTTACAGAATAGTAAAATAAGTTGGGGCACCAACTTCAGGCAACTTTTCACATAGCAGAGCCAAGAGGTAACTTTCAAATTTGTGCACCAAAAATGTGGTTTTCTTTCCCGTTGGCTGAATTGCTTTTTTTGACATAGAAACTTTAATTTTAATTGTGAAAATTATTTTTAAACTGTATTTGCTGTTTTACATTTCTCTGTATTTTACAATTTTTAATAAATAAATTTTGAGTTTCTATGTATTTTTACCTTGCTGTAAAATGAGAACTGAATTGATTGAATGAGAAATATACCTCTAATGAAATTCAAGGATGTATGTTTAAATGAGTGCAGTTAAAAATGTGTATAATTTAATAGTCCGTACAAGGAAGTTGTGGTGTCCGCATCCAATATTTTTCTTTCATATTTGGCACTTGGGTATTAGCGCAACGACTTTGGCAAAATTTGGCAAATTTTATGGAAGAAAAAGGACAATAACTTTTCATTGTAAATTATTCTCAAAAACTGATCAGTAAGCCTACTTAGAAAAGGATTTTTCTTCTGCTCTGGTAGAAGTTTTGAGGTGATTGCTCTGAGAAGAGACTTGATTCCTTTAGTGATTTTATGACAAAATATGTTCTTGTAGACATTTTATTGCCGTTTCTTCTACTGCAAGCAAATTTCACAAGGACATATTTTAAAATTAAGACAAAAGTAGATACTTCATGTCTATCTGGTAATTTTCTAAATAATAATAATTCAAAAGTATCATAACTAAAGATTTATGTTACTTGCTTAATAAAATTACAAAATTTGTACTAAAACAATTTTAACTTGTCTGAAGACAGTTTTGTTCTGTGAGGATCTTTAGAAATCAGATAAAATATCTCTGTCCCTGATAATTTTTATGGCATGTCTTAAATTACATTGAATTGAATTATTGCTTTTGAAATTAGCGCAGTTAATATAATCTGAGACTGCATTTATAGATCACACAATTTTAAGGACTGCATTAGAAAGCAAATTTTTCTTTCATTCTGAAGTAGATCAACAGTAATTTGGATTCCAAATAACCAGATTTTTCTTCCTTCAGAGCCAAGTAAAAGGATGTTTGTTAGTTTATTTATTTATGTATTTAAAAGATAATACAATATAAATTAATATCCATCAGAATCTCCAATATAGCATCAAAATACATTTTCTCTTTCCTCGTGACTTCTCAAATAAAATCTGCTTGCTTGTTACACAGGTGGTAAATAACTTTTCACGTATTTTTAAGTACTTTCTTCTATTTGTGCGATATCCTGTTTGAGGATCAGTGAAATTCACATTATTATTTACTTGTATTATATTCATATCCTGTCTGCTGCAAATAATTATACTTCTTCCAGGAATCTGAACAAATTATTATTTCTTTCTTGATCCCGGTTTCAGTAACATTAATCCTTTTAAAGTGGCATTTTGAAAGTTAACAGGAAAATCTTCTTCAGATTAACTTAATACAACTAAACCAAGCAAAATCGGTACTTAATCAACATTTGGTTGCGCATATGTTCCCATCTTGTGTATTTTTACAAAACAAGCAAAGGAAAGTTCAATTTCCTATCCATAACTCATTTCAATTTTGAATTAAACCAGTTTAGTCTATCCTGACAAAAATAATATATATATATATATATTTTTAACTCATTTCCTACTCCATGATCTGAGACAGGCCTTCCATAAAAATTTCTGTTAAAAAAAATAGTGCTTTAACCCTTTCATGCCTAACGTCCCAAGCAAATTTTAAAAAAATACTTTTGGGATAGAAACGCTTCTCTGTCTAATGGTAGACTTTCCCACCAGTTCTGCCAATATTTTTGAAGGTATTTTCATTCACAGAACATAGATGGCACTACCGTACATGATGCAATTCCCATGTTTTTGAAGTGTTGTAGCAGCTCATTCCATACTCTATGAATGTAAATAGTTTAGTTTTGGAAAATACTGCCTATTTTCGATTAAATTTTGATTTATCCATAAATCTAAGGCCAGATAAGTTACTCAAGAAGCGAATTACCTCTAATAAACTGGTAAGTGGCAGAGTTTTACTTCCGTTTTTATTATCGGGACATATGTGTCCCTCTCATCTTGGATAGTGGGAACACATTGTCCCAACAGTCCTATGTGATCATTTCTCTAGATATTATATTTTTCAGTTACTTTTGAAATAGTTGCTTATTATTTTTAATTTAGGCACATATTAATTCAATCTGAAATGACTCGATGCCAGGGACTTACTAATGAAGAAATCAAAAAAAATTTAGAAGAGCCAGATGACGAAGATATTGATTTGGATGATGAAATAGACGATCCCGATTTTCAAGATCCAACACACAATTTGCAGTACTCATCCGATTCAGACGAGTGTGAAATGGATATCGATCATGATACCATTCCCCAAAATACAAAGAACAAGCGATGCTTTGAGTGATACTGATACGGCATCACTTTCATCAGTTGATGAGATACCATCAGCTAATGCTTCAGGCTGCAAACCATCTTATGGTTTCATGCAGATTCAACTTTCCAACCTTGAATGACAATTCCAGCAGAGTCATCGCCTAGTTTGTTATTCAACTTAAATCGTTCAGCTACCGAATTGGACGTGTTTCTCAAGATATTTCCAAACGTCTTATGATTTGGATCTCTCAATGCACAAACCAACGACTCGAAAAGTTAGGACAAACAATTCACCCTACAGACCCCTCTGAAATTATGCTTGTCCTTGGATGCATGCTTGTCATGTCTTACAATAGGGTGCCGAAATTCTCTCATTATTGGTCATCTAATCCTTCTTTGGGAAACGTTAGCAATAAAAAATGCTATTTCAAGAGACAAGATGTAAAACGTTGCTGTCAAAACTATATTTTGCTGCACCAGAAAAGCCAGAAAATGCAAGTAAAAAACATATTATATTGACAAGGTTGTTTTCGTGCCTGAAACAAACCTTCAAACAGTGCCGAAGCGAAAGCTCATATCAAGCTATTGATGAATCAATGGCGAAATTCAAGGGACATTCATCCCTCAAACAATATATGCCAAAGAAACCTGTGAAAAGAGGGATAAAAATTTGGCAGCAATGTGATTCAAAAACAGGATATGTATATGACATGAACATTTATTCCGGAAAAGAAACTGGTGAAGTTCAAGGCACACTTGGGGAACGGGTAGTATCAAAGCTAATGGAGACAATCCGAGGTAAAGGCGTGATGCTTGCGTTTAACCGATTTTTTTTTTTACAAGCGTGCACCTGATGGAAACCCTGAAATTTCCTACTGTTGGTACGTGCATCAAGACACGCAAAGATGTTCCTAATTTTGTAACAAAACTAAGCAAAAGAGGTGAGGCTGAGTTTCTCGTAACTAAAAATGGAACATTGTGTGCGAGGTGGCTTGATTCAAAGGAAGTGATGATGCTAAGTAATTGCCACGAAGCTAAATACACAAAAGTAAATCGCACCATGAAAGACACAGCCATCTCAAGACCAAAAGAGGAAAATGCGTAACCTAATGCTGATTGGTTATTAAAGGTCACGTGGTTTTCTTTACTTTGGACGTCAGCATTAACACTAGAACTTAGCTGTGTAAGTTTACCACTTTTGGCGAAAATTTAATATTTAGAATCGCCAAAAATAAAAACGCCATATCATAATTGCTAGTTGCATCGTTTTGTGATGAATTACCAAAATAATTCATTAGTAAGATGGGGAATATTAAAAGGAGCAACAGTTTGCTTAAAAATTTACATTAAGGTTCAGAAGTGGTGTCAGTTTTTTTCAAAGTGAGCCAGAGTCAGGCCTAAATGTTAATACAACATTTTGTTTATTTAACACTGTTTATATTATATTGTAGTTCATTAGTTTGCGATGTGCTGTTTTTACCACTTTATGAGATGAATATATTTCAAAGACTAAAATCATATTTTGATGTTCAAAGTAAAGATATGATCACATTAAAATGGAATATATAACGCATTTTATAACATATGGAATTATTTGCATGCATTTCTCCGGTCATAATTAAAGAATTATAAAACAAAATTAAGAATTCAAGTGTGAACAGGCATACCAAACAGTATATTTGAAGTACTATATTACACAGGAATTATATAGAAATTGATTTGAAATAACTGTTTTGGTATTGTAATTATAAGTAAGTTGCAATGACAGGAATATTATGGTAATGCCATTGTGAATTAAAGTATATTTCTGCTATGCAATACTTTTGCAACTGATGTCAAAATTAAAATTGCTATATTTTATAACTGCAAACTGGTTTAATAGTTATAAGTGTATCTACTTATAATTTCCATTAGAATATCATTTATGTTATTGATAATTTGTCAGTATGTTTTCTCATGCTAAGGAATTACGTATTAACATATTTATTTTGAAGATACAACTTTTGTACCTTTTTTTTTTTTTTTTTTTTTTTTCAAATCCATTTCACTTAATAAATAATGTGAGGTATTTCAATATATATTCTTTCACAAGATATTTTGGCCATGTTCTGTTATCGGAACCAGATTCAGAAATGTATATATCAGAGTTGGCCAAACTTCATTTCAGTTTAAGCACTTTTCTAAAAGCTAAAAGCCACAAGTTCATATTTACATCATTACAGAAGTAGTGGAGGAGGTTTTAAATAGAAAGAAATCCCTGATAACTTTGTAAAAAGAGTCTAAACTAATTAATTACTTCCTTTTGGACACTGAATAGTTTTAGTTTACCATATTTTATATGCATGAGCCGCACAAATTGCCTGCAAGAGCCGTATAAGGCTCGCGAGCCGCACATTGGCCACAATTGATATATATATTTTGCATGTGCATATATATATGTATGCATACACACACAAATAGACATGCACATGTATATTCATACATACAATAAATCCTCATAACAGAAGAGTATCAATATTTCTAGCAGCTGCTTTCTTAATTTTGCATGAAGTTATCCTGGTTATGAAATCTCATTTTCATATTTGTTCAACTACCTTTCTTCTATAATTCAAGGTAGTTTCATATGTTGTATAAAAATTATAAGCAGTTCTATAGAGTGTTCGTAAGATTATTCTTCGTGTCCACCTGTGATTTTTTTGATACTGCTGGAGTTAAGTGAATTCATTTTACTCCCAATTACTTTTATTTATATTCCACAATAAAATATTATCAGCATAATAATAAAATAATATCAGTGTAGTTTCATTTTGGTATAAATGCAGCTTCAATAATTTATTTCTCAAACCTTCCTGAGTCGATAGGTGTTTTTCTAAAATTTCAAATAAATTTCATTACCATAAATACATAAATGTACACTGATGCATTGTTTCATTTAGCCTGTTCATATTATAGACCAGATATGGCCAAACTGCGGTTCTCCGACACTTTAACTGCGGCTTGCGATCCTTTGCTATCTAATATGCAACTTGTTTTGAATATATATAGTTTAATTTCTTAATATAAATGGAATTTGATATAGAAATCATGCAGTACTAGGTTTCTTTATTAATCGCCAATTTAGTTTCTGATATTATGTATGTAAAAATTTGATAGATTTCAAACTGTCCACTGCTGCCTTACCATCAGCGCAGCAAATACCTTAAATTACAAATAATTCCATTTCTGGTGATTACTATTCCTGTTATGTTACTTTTTGAACAGATAATGGTCATCGGAATACACTAATGCGAAGTTAATCTAAATGCTAATATTTTTATTTAATTATTCTCCCTAATATTTTTTCTCTTAAGTTAATTTTACTTCAGGCAGTTATCTGCTTACATTCCTTTATATTGTTTACAACAGTTGTGATCCACCTAGAAGATTTGCTATTCGTTGTAAGGTACTAATTTTGTGGTAGCAATTGGCCGCACCAAACGTATATATATATATTAGTAAAGACATAACGTAAGAAATTTAGAACTAATTTTTCACAAAAACCAAAAATTGAAATTCATAATTAATAAATTTTAAATAATTCTATAAATGCTACAAAGAATTTAAAAAGTGTTAAATCCAAAACTTTTCAAACATGCAATACACCAATTAAAAAAATGAATGAAATTTAAAGAAAAACTAACATAACAGAAGAGGAATTCAACGAACTTCAATGCCACTTCGTTAGGGGGGGGGAGGAACGTCGTTTATTGTGTTGAATTTCATGTTTTCCCGAAAAGGCGCCCTCTGGTAAAATTTTGGAATTAAATTTTGTGTTTCGAAATTCCGTGAGCGCATCTCGTGTATAGCCCATATCCAAAACTTCGTTGCATTCCGTTCACCCGTTTGCACTGTAGGATGCCGTTTATAAAGGAAGTTTAATTATAACTACCCGGTATATATGTGACCGAAGAAACCCGGTACTTTTAATTTCCCGTTAAACATTTTTAACAATTTACATTCAAGTTACTTTAAAACAATTTTCGAAATTGAACTTACTAACTATGGATTCACTCTTTTAAGATAATTCTACTAAAATTAATCTTAGGAGATAATATAGTCAATATTTCTTTAGTAAATGCAGCATTGTTTCTAATATACATATTTTGACACAAAATCGGTCGATTTTCTGAAATGGTATGTCTAATTTTTTTCATATTTCGATTCTACCGACTCAACATTATGCCAAACTGCGAAGTTATTGTAAAACTCGCGCGAGTCGTTTTTAAAAAAATTAGCTTCTCAATAATTTTAGCTCCTTCAATGTTAATTGAATTTGGTATATATATTTATTAATATGTCTTTTTTCATTAAACTTATTTGATTCTTCCTTTATATATTCTGTAATTTAGGTTCCCCATTTTTTATGATTTAAAAATTTGCACATTTTTAAATTGTGATTTCTACAATTTGTATTTTAAACAATTTTTATAAATTTTTCGAAAAACTTTTTGAATTATAACTTATAAAAGTTTTCCCATCATAAGTAGTACATAAGTAGATGTATTTCTAAGCATCATAAAGTAGATGTATTTCTAAGCATCATAAGTAGATTTATTTCTAAGCAGACCTGCAAAAAATTAGAGTTTTTTATTCAAAATTTCCTAAGAAATACGTGAATTTACATTTTGGCGCGTTTTGAAATTTGGCATATATGTTATAATGTTATAAACGATAATAGCAAAAATGTGGTTTACACACTTTGTTAAAATTGTTTGAAAGTATGACCGATGACTTTTTTTCCGCTCGTGGACAGTGGAAAAAAAAAAAAAAAAAAAAAGAAAAGAAAGGGAAATAGGTTGCTATAAGTTGCAAGAAGTTCGCCAAGTGAATTATTCTCGGCTCACATTGAAAAAAATGTGCCAGGATAAATTTTTTAATTTCTGCATAAATTTCTCACCA